GTCAATGAGACCACGCAGACGTTCGAACTGGCAGACGTTCTTTTGCGGCTGCACGCCCACGTGGTGGCGTCCGGTGGTTCGATCAGATGGACGGACATCGGCCTCTTCTACTCATCTTCCGCGGATGGTCCTGCGTGCAAAGAAGCCTTCAAGAAAGCTGGCGGCCTGAAGAAGGCACTGACACGCACGGACAAGCTCGTGTACGTGACGAGCGAGCACAACCCAGATCTCGGAACGATTGAGGTACGCGGCTCGGATGCTGCTCTGCCTCCGCCGCGGCCTCAGCAGCAGCAGCGACCGGCGGCAAATCCCAAGCCGGACTCGTCCCAGAAGCAGCATCGGCCGTCCACCAACCCGCCGCCGACGCCGCCACTCAACTCTTTCGGTCTCCCGCTGCGGCCCGATGCAAAGGCCTGCCCGCAATGGCTCAAGTATCGGCGCTGCGACTTCGGCGTCAAATGCAAGTACGACCATCCCAACGTGGTGGAGGAGACGCCCACTGACGGCGTCATCTTCCGCACGTCGATGGACAAGAAGGGCTGCTCGATCGGCTGGATCGTGCTGGAGGCGTTACCAACCGGCGATGAGCAGGCGCCAGGCTCGGAGGCGTTCTTCTTCCACGGCCAGCGTGCGAGCGGCTTCAAGGCGTCGGGCACAGGCGCGCTGCAAAGCGCGGGCCTGGAGCTCATCAAGGGCGACCGCGTCGCCGAGCTCGTCCTCAGGAAGAAGGGCGAGAAGGGCTATACGGTCGTCGCCGGCTCGCTGGTGCACTGCGCGCGGCGGGGGCAGCAGGCGTTCACCGACTACCTCGACGGTCTCCTTGCAGTGCTCAAGGACGGCGAGCTGTGCGAGACGGCACTGCACAGCCTCGGCCAGTCGCGCGCATGCGTGGCCGTGTGGACCGCGCTCGCATCGTACTCCGCGCTCGCTCCGTTCGTCGTGCACGGGTATCGGTCGCTGATTGAACCATTGAACGCTACCTCTAGACCATCATCTACTCTGCTTACTTCGGCCGTCGGCCGCTCGGTGGTCGAGTGGCTTCCGGATCGAATCGGCAGGTGGACCCTTATATTTTTTTCACACCTGAGCGGGCCCAATTTTGCTCTAGCGTCTAGGTGCCTCCTACGATTCGATCCCGCGTTCTCAGGCGATCAGGCAGTCGCCTGGTGCGTTGTTCGTTTTCGTCACGGGAGGCTAATGTATGCAATAACGGGAAAGGGTGGTTGTTCTCTCTAGCTCCCCTCCTAGCTCTTAGCATGAGCTGCGCCCTGTGTCCGACCCCTTTTGCGCAGCAACACCTTAAACTTTTAGGCCCTCCAAATTCTCGGAGCGTAGCGGAGTGGGCCCCGAGTTTGAAAAAGCTAAAAGGGCGACGGACGCTTGCGCCGCGTAGAATTCTTCTCATCTCGTTCCCGCGAGTGGCTCAAACGTACGCACGCGTGCGTCCCAGCGTGCCTCGCCCTCCCAGTCTTCTCCGATTCAGTCCCTTTCGCAAAAAGCGTCGAGAGCGAGCAACACCGGCGCGCCGATCGTGATCCTCCAGGTCAACCCGCTCTCGAGCGAGGCACTCCTCCGCTTCCGCATCGACTATCTCAGGCGCGCATTCCGCCAGCTCGAGGGGCGGTTTGAGGCGTGGGCCCTCTTCTGGGCGGACGACGCGGAGCGCTTGCCCGACCTCGCAACACGCCGTCGCCTCAGCTTGGCATTTCCGGGGCGCACTGCCGTCGTAGACCGCGCGAGGATCGACCGTGCCTTCCCCGCCTTTTTTGACGCGTTGCCGTGGGGCGGCGAGAAGATTGGCGCACTCGGAGGCACACAGCCGAGGTGGCCATGGATCTTCACGTACGTGGCGGTGCTCGCGGCGTTTGCACCGCGCCGTGTCGACACCCAGCCGCTCAGCGCGCGCATGCAACGTGCGCCGTATGTCTGGTACGTGGAGTACGATGTGCAGTGGACGGGCGACTTGGGCGCGATCCTTGCCGACTTTCCGGTCGGCAACGGGACGTACTACGCGTCGGACGTGCTTCACCTTCCGCCGTGGTCGCGCTGGTGGGCCACCAACCTCACCAACTTCCGCGGATGGACCGAGCGCTCCTCCGCACAGCTGCAGCTGAACGGGTGGCCTCCGAGGTTGTTGCAGCTCATGGCACACCACACTCGTGCCGGGCGCGTCTCGTACTGCGAGATGTTTGCGGCGACGATATGCGCCTCAGAGCCGTGGTGCCGGGTCGAAGACGTGGTTCGCGTCCGGCCAGCTCGATTCCCGCCGCCCGGCTGGAGGGCGCACGGAGCCTTTGGGTGGCGGCCGCGCACCAACACGCTGGAAAAGGTGTGCCGCATCGGAGGCGGCCACAACGCGACGAGCGGACAGCTGTTCCACCCAGTTAAGGTCCGGGCAGGCAATGGCACCGCCGAGCCCGCCTCAGACTGCGACTGGGTGTCAAACGCCACGCTCGCCGAGTGGGGTACGCCCCCGCGGCAGCCGGCGCTCCCCTCGACGACGAGACTCGAGAGCCACTCGGTCGACCGTTGGTCGAGTCCAGACTGATGGCTAGACCTCCATGTGGCTCCTGACTCCATTCCGACCAGGCTCTCTCTCTTGGCGGCGCCCGCAAGAGCGCAGGTGCAGCCCGCGCGAGGGTGCGCGCACATCCACACCGATGGGGGCATGGGGCGTGGCATCGAGCGACGCATGTTAATATCATGTGTTGGGGGATCGGATATGCGTGTCACACAGAGCCATCCGGACGTTATGATCGTCTCTGCGATTCGCTAACCCGAACCACCACGCGCCTAACCTGTACGCTTAGAGGCAACGTCCCACAGACCCCCGGCAGCCGTCGGACGCGGGAGAGCGGCTTATTGCGCTCGACATCGTCATCATCGTAAATCACATCACACCCGTGTGGGCGGACACGGTCCACTGTCGCAGGCCACCACCATTCTTCGTCATCCAGGCCATACTGTGCCTCGACGCGGTCGCCGAAAGCGAGGGGCTGCTTGTATGCGCGCACCAGCGCTTGGCCGTTCGCTAACAGCTCATCTTGCAATGCGCCAGGCAATTCAAGGAGGTAGCCAGACGCTCCGGGCGCTGGGACCCACTTTGCGCCGTCTCCCTCGTATTCGCGGAAGAGCATCTCAAGGTAAGTGGCGTACGGCGGATGCACGATCTCCATCCAGTCCTTGTGGAACCGAGGCAGGCGCGCGCACAGACCGCCACGCAGGTCGACTGCAAACACGGCAGCGACTGCACCTGCGTGTACGGCACCATCGAAGATGACCTCGCGCACCTCGACTGCGTTGCTTCGGCTTCTTGCGGCGCACAGGCCGGCAGCAGAGGCGGCCGACTCGCTGTCCAGTCGGACCAGGCGAACTGTGGAGCGCCCGCCAGCAGGTGCGACAAGGTCTGTCGCGATCTTCACAATAGGCTCGGGATTGGCGTTGGCGGGTCGGCGAGCGGGGGGAGGGTCTGTCCGGCGACGCTTCCGACTGAATGGGGTGGCGCCCTCTTTTGCATGCGCGAACATGGTGAAGGCTAGTGCCTCAGCCAGCCCAGTGGTTGCAGAGAGCCAGCAGCTTCTCTTGTGATAGCCATGGAGTACGTGCTCCTCGGGGGTGACCACTTTGCCCGGTTCCGGGCTGACGCAGACCGGCCGCCATGGATCGGGCAAGAGTCCCTCCATGCTGTCCATCGGTTGCGCGGAGCCAGGCAGCATGGAGGCAAATGCACGGTAAACGTGCTTCGGTGGCTCGAGAGATGCCAGAGGCTCTGCAGGTGGGGGCGGCGTGCTAGGCGCGGCGGCAGCTGATACGTGCGAGCGAGGGTATGCGCTGTACACGCCAACTGAAGCTGCGCAATCACGGCACATGCGTATGCCCTGCAGCTTCTGACCCTCGTGGCAGGCATTGTGATACCAGCGCCTGCATGTGTCGCAGCTCCATCGCGACTCATGGTGTCGCACCGCGCAGCACGCAAAGACTGTGGTCATGGAGGACACGGTCAAATGCGGCGAGAGGATACCCTATCAAACTCGAGAACCTCGAGAACACTCGACCGCGGTGGTGGGGCACGTGCGCGTTTGCGACAGGGTTCGGACTTTTGCGGGGCGAGGTACCTAGGCATGGTGTATTTCACTCGGATTCACTCCCATTGCACCTTCGGTGAGGGTGTAATTCACGGCCATACCCCAACCAACTTTGGACGGCTGTTCGAGATCTTGCCGAGCGCAGTCTGTGAGCGACGGCTACATTGATTCGAGCGACATTGAGGCGCTCCTCCGCAACCAACCAGAGACAGACAGAAAGAAGGGTGTCGGCGAGTGGAGCGTGGAGCAGCAGCACACACAGCTCTGCGACACGGACGCGTGCTTTTTTACCTCACTCCTGGCCTCTGCGCCTGCGGGCTCGGCGGCAGTAGAGGGAGGGGCCGAGGGACCATACCCCCCCCACCCCTCCCTGCCGAGGCGCGAGGGAGGGCGAACGAGCGAGGGGGGCCGCTGCTGGGGCCGTGCCCGTGGGCGGTCAGCACCATACACCAACCCTTTAGCCTTTTGACCACGATCTCTCTAATCGTGTGAATGAATTTGTGCTTTGAGGTGTGTCTCCGCCAGGCGCCCTTGGGAGGGTGGTACCTTTTGTGAAACTGAAACGCGAAACGCGATCTGTCTCGCGTTCCTCAACGCTTGCGATTCAGCTGTCGCGCCGATGGATGGAGCACTTGGAGTGCGGTCATTAACCTCACGCCCAGGACCGGGGAGCTGAGAAGCGCACCCAGTTGGCCGGACGCTCGGCATCGGGTTGCGGGCAAGAGAGCCCTAGCCCCGGGGGTGCGCGTTCGCAGGGCCATAACACGTCTCCGAGGGTTAGCCCCGCGTACCAGGTTTCCCCTTAACTGCAGGACGCCCCCTCTACTCGGAGCTAGTGATACGAGAATACTCTCCGAGGGTTGGCCCGTGTACCAGATCACTCTCCCCACCTATGTAGGGCCCGAACCCTCTGAGGAGACGGCTAACGCGTTCAATGACCTCCCTCTCGCGCGCCTCCAAGCGCAAGGACGCGCGCGACGCGGCGGAGCGCTCGATCAGCGTCGAGGCCGAGCTCATTGCGCTGCGGCGCAAGGCGGCCGCGTGGGGCGCGAGCGAGGACCAGGAGTCCATCACCGACTTTACCGGCCGGTGGGAGGCGCTCGCAAACTGGTTCCCTGCGGCGGTGGTGCACCGCGGTGTGCGCTACGCGTCGGTGGAGCACGCCTTCCAGGCGGCCAAGGCGGGCGCCGACGCCGACGCCGCGCGCGCGATCCGCGAGGCCAAGACGCCGCAGGCTGCGCATGCGCTCGGGCAGAAGGTTCCGCTGCCGCAGGACTGGGAGCGGCGCAAGCTGGGGCTGATGGAGGCGCTGCTGCGCGACAAGTTCGTGCGCGATGCGGCGCTGCGCGAGCGACTCCTCCGCACGGACCAGCAGAACCTAATCGCGACCAACAGCTGGGGCGAGACGTTCTGGGGCGTGAGCGGCGGCCGCGGCTCAAACGCGCTAGGCAAGGCGCTGATGAAGCTGCGGGGCGAGGCGAGGGAGGGGTCGGATGTGACCGCGTGGCTCTCCTCCTCGTTTGACCTCGCGCGCGCCGACGACCCGCACGACGGCCTCAGCCTCGAGGCGCGCAAGGGCAGCCTGCGGCACACACCGCTCGCGACCTCATCCAGGCGCCAACCGCCGCCGAAGCCACCGGCTCCGCCCCCCCTCCCCGCCCCCCTCCCCGCCCCCCGTCAGGTGCACAAGGGCGGCACCGTCGTCGAGACGGTCGCGCTGCCCGCCGGCCGAGCGGCGCTGCTGCTCGGGAAGCACTCGGCCTGCGACGTGCAGCTCGAGCACCCGTCTGTCTCG